CCCCGCTGCCCAAAGCCTGCCTGGGGTCCCGTGCGCCTCAAACACCGCAGCGACGCTGCCTACGGCCTCTCCAAGAAACCTCACAACTGCCGCTATCTTTATCAGTAAGACCAGCCTAACCTACACCCTCGGTGAACTTCTCAAACCTTCTCCAGCTGCAGGGAAGTCAACATTTGTCAGGCTGCTAGAGAAACACAGCGATGAGTGGGAGATCATCCCTGAACCCATCGCCAAGTGGTGCAACATCCAGACAGCTGAAGATGAATACGAGGTAGGTGTGCTGGATTTGGGAAGCCTGGGGAGAGGGATGGGGCACAGAAGAAACTGCAGTGATTGACCGGGGAGCCATGCCAAAATTCAGCTGTACTTAGTCTGGAGCTTCCAGGGTCATCCCCACTATCATACTAGTTGGTCAAACACTCGAATTGTAAAGGCTACTTAGACAGGTACTATTGAATGCATATTCCAAACAGCCACCCCTACTCCACAGCAATCACACTAAACTCTGAAACTCCCATGATCAACCTATTCTAAAGAAACTGTCATAAAGAATACCGTTTATTCCTATGCCTAAGCATTTTCCTAAAAAAAAAACCAAGACCATGAATTCTTACTTCAACATACTAGAGTTCTGGATTAAGAAACAAAATCCTGCAGATACACTGGTATTAAGTTCTCTCTTGTCCCCTAGGAACTTTCAACATCTCAGAAGAGCGGAGGAAATCTACTTCAAATGCTGTATGATAAACCCACGAGATGGGCTTATACATTTCAGACTTATGCTTGCTTGAGCCGAGTAAGAGCGCAATTAAAACCTGTCTCAGCCAAGCTACATGAAGCAGAACATCCAGTGCAATTTTTTGAGAGATCTGTGTACAGTGACAGGTAATTACTCTCACAATACAAGAGTTCAGATTAAAAGCTTCAGGTCTTTACGCTCAAAGACACGGAGCTGGGGAAACGATATTAAACTAGTATCTGCAAGGAGCAGGTTTGAGTCAACAGGTGAGAGTTGGATGGTATGAAGAGTACTTTATGGATGTAAGAGTAAGCAGCTGTTTTCTCAGTACTGTGATTCTGATTCCAGTGAGAACTGTTTTAGCAGTTCACTTTGGTCATTCCTGGCATGAAACTAACGTCTTTCATTGCAGATATGTATTTGCTTCTAACCTGTTCGAGTCTGGAAACATTAATGAAACAGAGTGGGCCATTTATCAGGACTGGCACACATGGCTTTTGAATCAGTTTGAATCAGATATAGAACTAGATGGCATGATCTACCTAAGAACCACACCTCAGGTATGTTCACTAAAGATGAAAATACTGCAGCTCCAACTTCAGTTTCCAGGAGCTTTAGAGAGTACAAAACCCTCAGTATTCGTGACATAATACTTCAGTGACTAACACTGAATTAGCTCCCCCCACCCCAAATGTAATGGGAAGCCTATCATAAATTCAGATGTCATTCAGAGACCAGATTAAAACCCCTCCCTTCTGAGCTACTATTCGGATGTCAGCAAACGCTACAGTTGCTAGCATCCACCACTCAGTAAGGATCCAAGGCTAAAGTTGAACTTCTGAATCTTTGACTTCCCTTTCTATACAGCCCTGAATTGAAGATAAGCATTTTAGTAATAACTACTGACATTCAGCTAAACTGGCTCAAGTTTGTTTTTTTTTAAAAAGTTATTCTAGATTTAACTCATTGATGTTCAGACAAACATTTAAAGTTAATGCTCACTGATGTCTAGCATTATTCCTTCTGAATTAAGGACCACTTGATCTGTTTAGCTGATTTAGCCTTCAACACATGATTAATGTCCAGGCTTGTACTTTTTTTCAGAAATGCATGGAAAGGCTACAGATGAGGGGAAGAGAAGAAGAGCAAGGAATTGAGCTTGAATATTTGGAAAACCTCCACTATAAACACGAAACCTGGCTTCATGAAAGGACTATGAGGTATGAACCCATTTTCTACAGGCAAGTTTCAACTTACAAGCAAGGCTCTTTCCTACCTTATGCTAAAGTTGATAAAACTTCAGGGATAAAACTAAGGTTTAAGTCTAGCTTTACTTGGGCACAGTTGGAAGGACTTCTCTTTAGAGCCACTCCAGGTTTCTTGGCATAGAGGTTATTACTGTAGGTTATATGCGGAGGGAAGGTCATCTGTTGGCAGATGAATTAAAAATTGCCAAGAGATAGAACTTCATCTAATTTAAAGCCTCTGTTAAGCATTAGCTTCAACTAGAAAGCTGTGTAGCTCTAACTCCAGCAAGGATATGAATTTTGTTAACTGAAAGTACACAGGAATAGGACAGAGTTGAGGTTGTGTTCAGGTGGCTGATCACGTAAGTTATCTAAGCAGCTTCCAGCTCCAATGTAAGGGAGGGCAAGGTCCCAACTACCTTTAAACAAGGCTGACTGTACTTCAACAAGGTTTAAAGATTAATCCTAGCTTCAAAATAAACAATAAGCACAAAGGCTTTTGGCAGGTACTATTACATACAAAGAAACCCAGTCAACAGTTAAATGATCTCTGCATACCTTCCACCCCCCAACTTCCTTCCCACGTAAAGAATCTCTAAATGCGAAAGCAGAATTCAGATTTTCCCCTAGAGGAGCCTGAAATACTCCACTCAATGGGAAGCATAACAATTCCAGGAAGAGTATGTTATCAGTCCTATCTGCTTTCCTAAGTTTCATGTAGGATGACCCAAATGCTTAGGAGACAAGAAGGCACTGCATATTGTAGAATTTTGGGAACGCTTACATTGTGTACTCATTCCAAACTTGTGAGCAAGCATTTCCTGTGTTTTTCATAGGAACACTTAAGTCTGCAAACACCAAGCTAAGAATGTTGTTCAGCACACTTACTGCATTTTAGAATAAATACTGCTTTAAGAATACGTCCAGCTGCACAACTACTGCTCCTAACCTGTAGCCAAAATGGTCTTGCTTATCTCCAAGCCATTTTAAATACCAACGATATAACCTGTTAAAGAGGTCATCCCCACCAAAGGAAGCTTTAAAACTGCATCTTAGTAAATGGATTAGCAGTTAACCGAAGAGGGGTGGAAAGACACAGGGCAAGTGATATTTTAAAATACTCCCTCTTACCAAAATCACATTCCTGATAATTGATTCCACAACAAAAGGTAAAGGTAACTAAGGTAAGAAGCATAAATTACCTCCTCACACATGCTTGTACAATAAAACAGGTATTAGAAGGCCAGATTTGTGAAATACATTAAAGTTATGGTGATACAATGTTGACTGGGTTATACAAGAGCAATTAAGGACAGACTTGACTTGGGCTTTATACTTAAGTCATGGGCATCAGCATTAACATCTCAGGTGCATGTGATAATCTGAGTAATACTGCACCCTTAGGATGACTTGGAAAGCAATTGGAAGAGCTAGATTGTTTTACACGCAGTACTTTATACCATTCTTACTAGCGTGATGTTCTTCCACTTAACAGAGTTGATTTCGAGAACCTTAAGGAGATTCCCATTCTAGTTTTGGATGTTAATGAAGATTTTAAGAATGATAAGATTAAACAGGAGTACCTGATTGATAAGGTAAGTATTAAACGTTTCCTCATCTGCTTTTCTTCTGCAGTAATAGCTATATCCATTTACATTCTTAAATGTATCCATTTACATTCTTAAAATTTGTGGTAATTACTTGTTTGGGGCTAGTACAGTCAGTCTCCTTCATAGACTTATTAGGGAACTCCATGGCTGCAGAAAAGGCTTTTTGCTTTCTTTCAAAAACATCATTTAACCCCACCTCATTATCCTCATAATTCAAGGGAAAACTGGTTGTTTTTGCATTCTAGGGATCTAGGCTCTTCCTGGACAGAGCACCACGCATCTGACAAATGCAGAGATAACTGAACCTTGTATATAGTTCTAAATGCATGAAGTGACACTTCTAAGTAGAGTTGGGAGGGCAAGCCAACAGCCACTTGAGGAAACAAGGTGGTAATAAATAGGCCACTTGAGTCAAAACAGCATTTGCTAATTCCAAGGAAAGGCGAGATTTAGGAAGTAAGTGTCCAGAGAAATTCTTCTGCTGGAGCCATGTGCTGTGTGTGCAGTCCACAGCAAAAAAACCCCTCCTAATACTCAAAGGCACAGGGCTCATCTCCAACCCTCCAAGCAGAGCTGTACCATTACTTATTTCACCCACTGGGACACTTTAACCTTCCTTTCCCCCACTGCCCCAACAGTACTAGTCTTGTAAGATGGAAGTAAGTGCCCTCCTATCAAACTGTATAAACCATGTTTTCCATCTTGTTCTGGGTCATCAGTTCAAGATTATTGAAGAATGACTCCTTCAAGCCAAGCCTAATTCTCCCAATTAAACAGCTCTATATAAACTGGGGAGGGGAGCACAACATTCAGTTGTGGAATTTGTTAAGTTATATCCCCATGGAAACCAGCAATCAACAGCTTAGAGAGTTATGAGCCAGACTACACTCATACATGCAGGTAACTACTTGCCCCACTGAAAGGCCACCAGTGTCATCTCCACCAAACTCCCTTCACAAGCCAGCATGTGACGAGGTCGGCTCTACTTTCAGCTTGGGGTAGGGGGCACAGCACCATGCCAAAAGTGCTACCAGATCTTCAGCTTCTTTTTCAGACAATCCCTCTCTTCCTAGGAAAGAGCCACGTAATGAAGGAAAACTCGTTTTTCTTTAATGAAGTAACATTCTGTGAAGCACTCCAGAAGCTACCTTTCATAAGCACTTGCTATTTTTGAGTAATTAAGTTACTCAATTCTACCTAGTACTAACTTACAAATCTTGGGTTCGCAGCCATCTGCTACACCGAAGAGCATTTCAGGTCATGAATTATATGTAGAGGCAGAACAGCACCGGAGACTGTACAGTCACAAACCATTTGTTCCCCAAGAAAGAAATGGAAAAGCCTAACGATTTAGCTTTTCTTTTAATGCATCAAATATATATGCTTTTTGTTTTCACAGGTCAAGTCTTTCCTGACTTCTTAAGAACACGAAAATTAATTTGAATTACAAGTCCCTGAACTCAAGAGTTAAACCTAACAATTGGTGTGCTCTTAGACGATTTACTTTAACTGAATATATTACCTGTATAGCTTAATTTAAGGCAAGACTGAAGCACAAAATATGCTTTGTTTTTTTGTTTTTTGCTTGTCTGACCTGTGTGGGTTTTGGTAGAATTTTCTGTATAGCTAAAATGACCAAATATGGGGTGCCTTGATAATGTACTTTGTGCATGTTCTTTGCTGTTTAATAAAGATTTTAAAATAACATTGACTAATAACTGGCTTTTACAACAGAGGAGTTAATGGCTATCAGCAGCTGACAACCCAGTAAACAGCGATAGCAGGCGCCGGGGCCAGGTTGTTTTGCAATAACTGGCACAGTTCACCATTTTAAGAGGAGACTGCTATGGCGTCCAGAAACCTTTACTTTCAACTTCTGCTTTACTGAATGGCTGTTTTCACGGGGTTTATGCTACTTAAGGATGGACGTTACTCTAGTCGCAAGGGTTACACCTGTAATAAACCGTAATTTAAGCGTACCCTGTTTACGACCTCCCCCAGTAATGGAATCCCCCCGCCCCCCCAACGCGGTAACGGCAGG